CCTCCTCCTCCTCCATCTCACTTTGTAGTCCAATCTGGCCTTGAATAAGACTCAAGCAGTCTTCCTGCCTCACCCTTCTTAAGTAGCTGGGACTTCAGTTATGTGACACTGTGCCCAGACTTTGGTGAGGTTCTTATTTCCTGAGACCTCTTCTTTTCTTCCAAAAATATCAGTTCTATTTTTGTATAGCTGGAATTAACACAAAATTACCCTGAGAAAACATTTGCCTTGGCCTTAATCTCAATCCATTTGGACTCCTATCATTACTATTCACTCACTTGTTCCTTCAGGGAATTATTTCATGCAAGGATCTACTTCATGCAAGGATCTTACTACGTGAAGAACTCTGGGTCATTGTCACAGGTCAAGTTCCCTGAGGAATGAACCTTGAGCCAAAAATATGCATATAGGAAGTTTATTGGGAATGAGGGTTACAGGGCTGTCTCAATGGAAAAAGGTTAATCCAATGCAATATCAGCAAACACTTCAGCTGATCCCACCTAGAAACTATTTAAGTGTGGGATGATTCTTTTCAATAGACCAAAATAGAGGTAAAGGTGCTGAGTCTCCCTACTGCACATTGACCAGCTGCTGGGTCAATGCCCTTGGGAAGAGGATGTGACTTTGGCCCAAGTGCCCTCTTCAGCTGAGGCAATTCTGGAAAGCTGCTAACATTTTAGCAGTTGGAGGAACGCATGCTATGGTCCAAGAGGAAGGATCTGATGACCCTGAGTATCCGTTATGCATACTTGCCTTGGCCCTGTGTAAACAGCAGGACCAGTCTTGAACTTGTTCTGGGCAGACCTGGGTTCTAGTCCCTGCTCAGCTATTCACCAGCTGATCCCTGGACACTTTCTCCTCTGTAACTGAGGTATGTCTTGTGCCTGGCAAACTTACTTCACTGCTAATGGCAGAGTGCTTTGTATGATTGTGGACGGGCTGAAAGCAAGGACTTGACATGCTTAGTGTTGCAATAAACATAACCTGCAAACCTTGATGATGGGGGTGGCAGTATCTTGGGGTAGATTAAAAACTGCACAGGATATTGGATGTAGAAGTGCTACACAGGTTGTGAATGCAGCCTGTCATTTTTACAAGGTTAAAAACCTCAACTCTAAATGTTCCCAGTGGGTGACTGGTCACTGTCCTCCTGTTCTTTGTAAGAGTATGCTTTATGTGCACACAGCCTGACTCTGGCATCCTCTCCCTTTAGGTGACCCAGAAGCTCTCCCTGGTGATTGTGCAGGGCCACCTGGTCTCCGAAGGGGTCCTGCTCTTTGGGCATCAACACTTCTACATCTGTGAGAACTTCACCCTGTCTCCCACAGGTGACGTCTATTGCACCCGGCACTGCTTATCCAAGTGAGTTCTCCACTTCTTCCAGCAGATTCTTCCCTGAGCCCCAACTCTCTTGTAGTCACTTCTACTTCTTTCCCTCCTCCTTGGTTTTTCTGAGGGGTTGGGGCCTGAAATTGAGCCCTGAGATAAAATGGGAGCACTTGGGGTCTACAGCTATAAGCTATCCATGACCAGGGTTCCCAAAGCTGAAGTCTGGAGTGACATGACAGCTGTGATATGGAATGAAACACGGTATATGGGGATCTTTTCTCAGATTATTTGAAAATGCCCATCAGCTTGTGCATTAAAAAATTTGTTGGTTGCCCGTTCTTTGTAAGATGTCAGGCACTGCCCCATTCATGCAGAGGCACATGAGTACAGCTAGCAGCATAAACCCATTCTTTTGGAAAGAGTTTGGAGCATGCTGTCATGATAGCCCAAAATGTGTGTTTCTTCATGATGTAACTGCAAAGATAACCTGGGAATGGTGGTGTGAGGAAGGGCTGCCTGAGGAAATGGCTAAGGTCTAGTGAAGGATGGGTGAGAGTTTGTTAGAAATTTTGTCCCTTTTTACACTAATTAATACCAGATATCTTTGTCAGGAAATTCTGAGGTCCTTCATAAACATATGATGTTTGTGGTCACTGTGGGTTCAACTGGCTCTTATTGATCAATTTGCTTCTGTTTATAAAGAACATCCATTCAAAGTCAAATTGACTGTGTTTGTCCTCTTTCCAAAAGTCCAGTGGTCAAGTTGTATGTTCACACTTGATCATTGCTTTTGAAGACATTTGGATGAAGATTTGTTCCTGCAGAGATGGCCTTGCCTTTTATGGCTAACTTGCCACTGATGGCAAGGTAACTTTCAGCCAGGTGACTCTCAAAACTAGCTCACCTCAGAATCACAAAAGGGCTTGTTAGAACATGGACCTCTGAGCTTTTCCCCCTCCCTAGTTTCTGATTCAGTAGTTCTCAGGTAGAAACTGAAATTTTACCAACCATCTAACTCAGGCTGATTCTACTACTTTTGGGACCACATTTTTGAAAATCACTGTTTCAGGATATTGACAGAGGAATCAAAATCCTGACTTGCTAATAACTAAGAATTTTAATGCCCAGTTGTCATATGATTTCTAGCCTATGTCATAAGGCAAGAAGGGAAGGAGTGTGGAAAAGTAGATGTCAGCCCACCTGTTTTGATTTAGATTTCCTTTATAATGCTTGGCATTTTTTTTCTCTCTGCTGATTTCCATCTTTTATTCATACCCAGTGTTCACCAATCGCTGCAAGTCTTCTGTGCTTTTCCAAGGCAAGAGAAGCATAATTAATACTTGGCATACTCATCCCATCTCATTGCTCATGTTTTATTGACACTGATCAATATGGACAATGGGTCTGCAAACTTGCCTTTCTGAGAGCGGATGAAAGCTTTCAACTCTACCTGTCTGCGTGGCATGACCTTGTGATGACTTGCATAATCCACTGCTCCACTCCTCACCTCGGGTTTACATTGAGCTGGTGCTAGATAAGGTCTTATTGATTAGATAAATTGTGTTGATGAGGTGCATCTAATCCTGATCAAATTGACTATCTCTGCACTTTTAATAGAAGTCCAATGGTCAAGTTATATATATGTACTTGATTTTGCAATTAAACAAGTCTTCCCTTGTTTGGAAATGTACTTTTCTAGAATGCAAGTAGGAGTAGAGTGAAAACAAATCCCTACCCTAGAGTACCATTTGAAAATTGCACAGGTAATTTTAGTTATCATACCTCAAAGGAAGTGTTCATTAATCAGAGAGTGCTTTCTCTGGGGGGTCTTGTCTATGGTCCTAAGAAACTACTGGCACAGTCGCAGATGCAATTCTCAAAGATGGGCTTTTAGATCATGTCAGATCAATGGGGATTAAGTCTTATTTTGACCATGGGGACTAAGGAAGATGCATAAATAAGCTTGTTAAAAATAAAGCTAAGTCAACGCTGAAATGCTTCTTTAAAAGACTGCCATCAAGTACAGTTGAGCATTAGACCTTGAAAGAGCATCTCTGATGCACCATAAAAATATCCCAAATAAAGTTCAAGAACACTCTAATTTCCCCATTGGTGATTTGACTTGAGTACTTTGGAACTTTCTTCAGAAACTGAGAATCTTCTAAAGAGTTTAATTTACGTTGGGTTCCCCTTCTTGCACACTTGTGTTAGTTTGGTAAGGCTGTCTAAAACAGGGTGGCTTTCAAAGAAAACAGAGATTGCTGTGTCATGGACCTAGAAGTGTGAAATCAAGGTGTCAGCAGAGCCTTGCTTTGCTGCCCGCTCAAGGGGGAGAATCCTTCCTTGCCCTTCAGGCTTCTGGCGTTTGTGGACAGCCTTGGGTGTTCCTGGTCTTGCAGCAGCATTGCTCCAGTCACATGGTCATCTTCTCCCTGGCTTCATACCATCTTCCCTCTTTGCATCTGTCTCTGTGTATAAATTTCATTTTTAAGTGAGGACACCAGTTATATTGGAGCAGAGCCCACCTTAATGTCCTCATTTTAACATGATGACCTTTGTAAAGATACTATGTCCAAATTAAGTCAGATTCTCACTTAAACACATTTGGGGGTGGGGACACAATCCTGCCCGTAACAATGGCAGTCACGATATACAGCATTGACTGATTTGGTGGGATCCCAGACCATCCATCTGGACCTCTAGTGGTAGGATATATAATAAGATACTTCTTATCATTGAACAGCTTTAAGTCATCCTGTCCCTATTTAGTTCAATTCAACAAATATTTCTGATAATCTATTTTGTACCAGGCATCATCATAGATTCCACAGATATGAAGACATGATTCAGATGCAGGCCAAGTCTGCTAAAGAGTTTGTGATCCAGTGAATGAGTCCAGGTGTAAATTCTAGGCATAATTCTGACAATTATCCATTAACTTCAAAAGAGGAGCAAATCAAAGTATACTTTATTCTGAAATTCACTTCTATCAAAGAACATGTCAACCAATATTATAACTCACTTAACTGTGATTTCCCTAGTAAAAATATAAATAAGAATATAATGCTATACTATGATCACCCTGGACAATGTTCACGTATCACAATAGCTAGCAGACAGTCGAAGCATGAACAGCATACTACAAATCATAGTAAAAGATCTACCTAAAGAAGAACATGGATTAGCTCCCCCTTCCTACTCATCAATCTTGGAAGCCTCAACTCAGATTTATTCTGTAGAACGTGTATTGTTGTCAAGATTCCCCCAATCACATCTGTGTGAACACTGTTACAGACACTCCTCGATTTGGACTTCCATCAGTGAACTCAATGGTGCACATAATTTAGTTTTTCTGAAGATTTGGGTCTATCTGAGGATTCCTGTCCTATATGGCTATACAGTTACCGTAAGTGGGAGAAAAATGACTCGTTTCTCCTAAAAACCCCTTATCATTTTCCCGAGTATTCTTTCTCATTCTGTGTTTCAGAGTCCTAGTTTGCAGAATCCATATGCAGAGAGCAAACTGAGAAGAGGGAGTTTGTGGGAAGAGCTCTATAAAAATTTAGGGAGGCTTTCTGATAAGTTCACTTCTATCAAAATTGGATTTTAGAAAGAACTTGGATTTTAGAGTCAGAGGACCTGGATTTGAATCCAGGTTCCATCTCTTCATAACCATGCAACCATGGAAAAGTCTCATCCTCTGGAATGCACTTTCCTGATTTATGATATGGAAATAATAATCATGCATGTTCAGTCGAGGTTCATTTTGAAAATCAAACTAAACAATGGACAGGAAAGTTCTCAGCAGGCCAGGAGCATGACAGTCACTGAGCAAACATACCCAGAGCTTGGGGGAAGATGGGGGACACAGAGAGCCAGAGGGAAAAGCCTGAGTCATTACATGGCTCACAGGAGAGGGAAGTCAGCCAAACATGCAGCTAAGGCATGGAGGATATTTGCTGTGGTTCCCATCAGCAGAGGCCTTTGGGAACACAGAAAACTTGAGATTGTCCTTAACCTAAGCTGAGGGTCGGACATTGAATTATCACTATGGCCTCACTGGGAGTCAGAGAAGTTTGGGGAAAGCTCAGCTCAAACCAAGCAGAGGCATTAATAATGGACAAAGGGCCTTGGCCGGCAGCAGGTTTGAATTAAATCATTCTGGCAGAAGCAGCCAGAATGAAAGTCACATCTTGTATCCAAGCAGACTTACAGTGATGTGACTCAGAGAAGAAGGCCTGGGGTGGTTCTTCCAAGAAGGGGTGGGAAGGACCACAGAGATGCCTGCGATGGCATCTTCTAAATCTAGCTCTGTAGGGGGGTACACAGAGGGCTTGGGCTTCCCTTCAGCAGTGACCACCACGTGGGGGTGCAAGTACAGAGTTTCCCTGTATAACCTGGACCTCCACTGACTATGTACTGGAGCATTCCTGCCAGGCCGGGGACAGCCAGACCTCTGACTCAGTTTGCCCCAGATTGGTGGCATGGAAGCCTTATGACCCTGGAGGCTGGGGTCTGGGCAGAGAGGACAGCACTAGGAGAGACAAAAAAATTTCCTCAACTATTCCCAGAAACTTGACCTTGGTCAGCAGGACCACATTGGGCTGGGGTCTTTCAGCTCTTGGCTCTCTGAGCCTGTGGTCACACTCAGGCTTCTTGGGGCCAGAGTGCTTAGGAGGCCCTCATTTCTCTTTATTAAAAGGATATTTTAATAAGAATTTTTGTGGTTATATACAAGATTAAAATGATTACATGGCCCAGCTGTACATAAATGTAACTATCTGTAACTGAAATCAACTTTATTTCTCAAGTCCCTCTTTGTATGAATTCTGAAAAACTTCACCCTGTCACCATAAGGTTAATCTCTTTGGGAACAAATATTTGGATAAATTGTAGATTCTCCCCTCCCTCCCTCTCCTCTTTTTCCCAAGGAGGTGGGCTTATTCTGACATCTTTCAGGGAAAGCCTCCAAGATCTCACTTAAGTGTCATAGTTAACTCCTCTCTAGACTACCTCCCACCTCCTACAGGCCACTCGACCATACCACAGGGTAGGTGGGGAGCAGGACTCGGGTCTCATGCCTGTTCCTACTTTGCCTCTTGAATGGGTCTCTACCCCGGCCTCCAGGCTTTCTCCTCACTCTACAAGGCCTGGCTTTGGGGAATTTTAAGAACACCCCCCAACCCTTACTCTCACTCCTCCGTGGATCTTGCCTACCAAATAAGCCTTGGCTTGCAGACAGTTGGTTTTGCTATGCGGTTAAGCAATTCTTCAGAATTCAGTTTGACCTCTTTGTCCCGGGCTGACCCCCCAGCCACTCAGGACAATCATCTGGAATACTCTTAGGGTTGCCAGAGATGTGGAGATAGGGGATGTGGGTCCAGGGTACTGAAGAGCCACAAGGTTCAACAGCTCCTCACACACCCCTGTACCCAGGGAGTCTTCCCACATCCCCCAGCCTTTATACCCTGTGTCAACAGAGTCCTCCATCATCGCAATCACCTCATGAGGCTGGCACCCCACCTTACTCCCAAGGGCAGGGCTTCATGTGTCAGAGGGGACATGGACAAGCAATCAGAAAGGGCTGAACAGACCCATGGAAGAAGCCAACCTATAGTTGGCATGGCTAGAGCAGCCAACCAGCATGACCCCAGAAACTTGGATGAGGCTAGTGAAGGGACAGATAATAAAAGGAGCCTGTCAGATGCTGTCACACAGGTGTGCAAATGTGTGCACGCATGTCTTTTTTCTCCTTTTCAGCATCAGCGATTCCTTCATTTTCAACATGTGCAGCAAAGACAGATCTTCTGATCATTACTCGTGCCAGCGCCACAGCTATTGGGACCTTAGGGAGCTCCGGCAGGCCCGCTTCCTCCTACAGGTATGTCGGTGGGGCTCTGACAGCATGAGCAGGCAGGTGGGAGGACCTGGTCATGACAAGTGTGCTCTTAGCGCCATTGAACACACACCTCTTTGAGCACGCTTGGCACCTGTGCACAGCCTGGGGCGGAGGCACCATGTAGGAGGAGGGGAAGGGCCAGGATTCATTACTCACCTTCTCTGCAGGGAACTAGTTAGTCCCAAAGCCTAGCAAAGGAATGGTGTTTATCCCTGATGAACTTAATAAGGGTGCATTTCATTTGCAAATTTAGTTTGGATGTGTGGAGTACTTAAAGTAAGAATTAAAGTAATTCATCCTGTGAGCCTCCTGCAGAAGGCTCATTATTATTGTCTGAAACCAAAACTCAGGGAGGCCTTTCACAGGAGTGAAATCTAGAAAGTTCCAGCTGCCCTGCTCACCAGGGTCCAGCCTACTCCTTGGAGTCTAGGCCTCTGTTGTACTTTCTTCTTTACTCAGTGCTGCTTTTGCTCAAAAAGTATTTGGTTTTCAGTTTGCCTGACTTTCTGGAGCTCTTTTGCAAGAAGGAGATGGTGACTGGAAGGAACAGCCCCACTTGGAAGGTTCTGGGCAGTGCAGCTGAGCTGGGCTCTTTGCACCCACTGTGGTGCCTTCCGGCATCTCTCTGAACTTCCTCACTATCATGGAACAGAGAGCCAAGCCTTATTCTTCTTACCTTGCACATATACACTGAGCACATTTGGGCCCACATAGTAGGCACTCAAAGTTATTTTTTATGATTTTATGCCTGCCTTACAGGCTGCATTTGGTAGCATATAGGTGGAGTAAGCGAGTTTCTTTTTCTCCAATAAATGATGATTATTTCCAGATGGTCAGTTAGCCTGACGCTAGTGGAAGCCAGAAGCGGAAGGGTGTGTGTGCAATGCCAAGTAGGGCAGGGGTGGTAAGGGGACAATTTTGAGAGCAGGGCCACCAATCAATCAGCTAGCCTTGGTTCTATTAGGAGAAACCTGAGCCTATCACTCAAGGTAGCCGGGGTAAGCTGTAGCCTCTACAGATTCTATATCCCTTCCTGTTTTGTGCATTATTTTTTTTCTCTTATTAAAGGAAAAAAAATGAGGGTCTTATATCCACCAGAGAAGGAGGCTTGCAATATCATTATGAATGTCTCCCCTCTGCTCAAGGGCATTAGTGTCCTAGACTTGGAGAATTGACTCCCAGCCAAATTGAAGCAGGATGTTATTATGAATGGATTCAGGAGCCCGTCTCTAAGTCTGAACCTCCATGTCCAGGCCTCACCCCTCTCTGGCCATCCCTCCAGCCAGAATTCTCTGTGACCCCACCTCTCACCCATGAGGTGTATCCCACATATGAATGCACTCTATCCCTTACTCCAAGTTTTTTATTGACATAATTTGGAATAGAAAGGAGGAAGAGTTTGAAGGAGGGAGGAAAGGGAGGAAAAATGAAATAAAATTAAATTATGAGTTTGTATTTAGGCATTAATAACCACATTTTTACATCAGTATAGCCACAGCAAGATGGATTAACAGAATGGACTGAGCAAGGCCCCTGGTGCCTCTTGTGTCTGCAGATGAGCATACAATGCTGCCCAGGTTGAGAGCGGTCCCCACTTAACTAGTGGTGTTTCCAGTGAGGTGACCCTGGTTTAGGAAACCCCAAGCCCATGACCTGGAAATGAAAGTGTTTGAGAGTGTAGGTGGGCATGTTCTCCCTCTGTCTGCTTCTTGCTCATCCCAGGAATGGGGCATTCACTTTCTGCTTTGCCCAAGGGAAGTAGTAGCTGAGGCTAGGCTCCCTGCTCTCCCATTCATTCTGTACAGACCCCCCTCATCCATCAACAAGGTCTTCATAGCCTAAAGGGAAGTCAGAAGGTCTAATTAAGGAGTTAAGTTGCTTATGGGGTTGCCTGCCACAGAGGTCCACAGGACCCTCTGCCAGCAACTCCGTTGCCCTGGGGCCTCTCCATTCCAGGAAATATCAGGTATAGGAAGAAAATATTTCTCTTTTTAGGATATTGCCCTGGAACTCTTTTTTCAAAATGGATATTCCAAGTTCCTTGTCTTCTACAACAGTGATCGGAGTAGGGCCTTCAAAAGGTAAGAGATTAAAAATTCTCCTTCTAAGGAAACTGATCCTGCACCCAGAGTTTGCTCAAGTCTATTTTCAGGAAAAGTATTTCCAATCCACAGCAAGCAGGATTTAGGTTAGAAAAAAGGAAGAGCTTCCTGCCCACTGAACTATTGAATCCTAGGACAAAATATAGACAAAATGTAGAGAAGCTCCTTCCCTAACGCCTGGGAAGTAGGTTCCATTTTCATGGATTAAAGTGGTTTTAGTACAGTAGTGAATGAGGAGAAGAAAAAATAGAGTAGATATACCCTAGTTCAGAAACTGGTTGTTTAATGGGACTTCCAGAATGTTCTGGATTTGTTTTCTCATTTTCCAACTAAGCTTTTTCTTTGGCCCAATCTTCCTTTTTGATCCCGATTGCCAATTTCAGTCCCTCCAGTTTCAAACTTCAGTGGAAACCACTCCCAGCAACCACCCTTCCAGGGGTGCAAGGAGCATCTTTTTTCTTTAAAAGAGAAGCCTGTCACTTCAGCTCCATCCTCTTTCTCCAACCAGACGAAAACCTAGGAAATGTGAGCCAGTATCTGAACCCGTAATACTCAGAGTTATTTATTTTTTATTGTTACTAAAGTTGTAGACAAATAGATGTATAAAGAATCTAGAAATCACAGGAAGGAAAGTCAAAGCAGGCCATGCTGTGGTTGGGGTAATGGAGGGTGGCTATGTTCTGCTCCACTTTGAGCTGGAACTAAAGAGATGAGACTTGACCCCTCCCCTACTCTGGAAGCCCTTTTCTATACTCAGAAGTTTGCCTTTCTGCCAGTAAGTGGTGCCAGGGAACAGGGCCAGAGTGGAGCAAAATAACTGCAGAGAGGCTGTGCCTGCCAGCCCTGGACATGCCCCTTTGATTCAGGTGACACTTCTGATGAGTTCCTTCCAAGAGCTACTGTTAGGTTGCCTCTTAAAATTGTCTTCAAGGTCCATTTTATATTACACTGAATAAGTGGACCCATGATGCTGCACTTGGTTCATTTTCCCCTTATGGCTTCTGGGTATAAAACAAAAAGTTTCTTATAGCTAATCTAGAAGTCTTATGCCTCCATATGTGTTGGTCAACTTTCCATCACTATAATAAAATACTTGAGAAAGTTGTTATAAAGAGAAAAGGGTTGTTTTGGCTTACGATTTTGGAGGTTTTTTCAGTTTATGATCAATTGGCCTTGTTCCTTTGGGCCTGTGATGAGGCAGCACATGATGGTGGCAGCAGGTGACAAAACTCTTCACCTCATGGTGGGGAAGAAAATGAGAGCAAGAGGAAGGGGCTGGGGTTCCCCAGTTCCCTTTAAGGACATGCCTTCAGTGACCTTAAGACCTCCCACTAGGCCCTATCTCTCCAAGTTTCCACCACCTCTCAATAGCACCACCCTGGGAATCAAGTCTTTAACACAATGGCTTTGGGGCAACATTTAAGATCCAAACTATAACACACAGCTGAGTTCAAGAATATAGCCTGGTGTAAATTCCAAAGCTATTCAAGGAGGCTTAATTTAAGATGGCACTGACACACTGGAATGGACAGCAGTGGTTGTCACAATTGGCCATGGAACTATCAAATGCCTGGCCCAGAGGAGATGCCACAAGCACATTGACTTTAGTACCTACTGTTTTAGTGTCATCGTTGTTGGTGTTGAAGTTAGAATGAGCTGTGCCTCAGGGCACAGTGGGCCTGGTATTCATGACCTCAGGACAGGATGGGACTGGGAGGTGGAGGAGAAAGAATGGGCCAACTTCTGGTTTGGAAAATATCTCTGGTGGTGGTGGGAAGGGCTTGGTTCTCCTGATAAAATTGTTCTCTTTTTTTGTTTAGCTTTTGCTCTTTCCAGCCCAGCTTGAAGGGGAAAGGTGTCACAGAGGACCCCCTCAATCTAAGGTAAGTCAGGACTAGAGACTCTCTGGGCCTTGTGCAGACCTTACTTTGCTGGTCTATATTTGCCTGGTCCTACTTTAAAGAGTCATGCAAAGAGCATGTCCACCCATTTCTCCTTTATCTTTTTCCTTTCCCATCTCCTTTCATCCTTCATCATCCTGAAATCCTTTCTTCCAATTAAACCACTATGAATATAACTGAAGTTCCACATACTCTGTGGCTTTTTCAGACCCAAATGGTGACAAGTGGCTCCTGACTGGTGGTTGGGTAGTTTGTTATAGGCACAGCTGGGGGTTCAGGCCCTCGGGTGCAGATGTGGGAAGCATTCCAAGTCTGTCTTTGCATAATGAGTGCTTCTGAATGCTCATAGGCTAAATTCAGGTTAAAGAATCCTTATTCAGAAAAATTCAAAATACTACAAAATTGAAAACTTTTTGAGTACCAATATGATGCTACAAAGTGGAAAATCCCATGTGTGATCTCATGGGACAGGTGGCAGTTAAAAGACAGATGTACTAAAAATCTTGTAAAAATTACCTTCAGGTTGTATGTTAAGGTATATATGGAATAACCATTGAACTTGGCAACTTAAGGGTCATTGATGACTTTCAGCAGACCAATATGAATTTTTTGGTTAGATTTGAGTCCCATCCCAAGATAACCCAATAGTATATGCAAATTTTCCAACATTTAAAAAACGTGGAAACAGAATCATTTGTGTTTCTCCAAGCATTTTGGATGAGAGAACTTGGTCTATACATGATGATATAGTCATCAGATGGTGATTTGTGGGTATGTGATATGGGGCGTGTTTCCAGGGAATGAAAGCCTTATTGCCCTTAATCAGGAGCCCCTTTGTTGGTGCCCAGTTCTCTAGGAGGCCAATTCAGAATCGGTAAATATTTTTTTTTAATTTCAGTTAGGAATGAGAATAGGAGGAAAAGATGGTTACTGGTTTTCACCAGAATTATGTGAGAATAGGATAGGAAGTATGACCCAAGAGTGGTAATAAGTATGGAATAGGCCTCACCAATTCAAAAATTATTTTTTTGATAACTTGTGATATAAAGAATTTGGCACTTAACAGAATAACCAGCAAAAGAGCCAAAAAAAATCCTCCTGACCTTATTGAGTTTACCTTCTTGTGAGGAGACTAGATATTAAACAATTTAAATGAATGTACTGTAAAGCATATTAAATAATAAGTATAAGAAACAAAGCATAGAGAGGTTCACATTGAATTCAAAGTTCTTATTAATAATATTTGAATTAAGACTTGAATGAATTGGGGAAACCTGTTACACAGGTAACCCACAAAATATGTTAGATGGAGGGAATAACAATGAAAATGCCCTGAAGGGAGCCTGGCTGGCTTGGCTGAGGCTGGAGCTGCTCCTTGGTGGGGTGTAGGGAGTTAGAGCAGATGGGGGAGGAGTAGGAGAGGTGAGTTTGTGCAGTTCTCAGGGGCTCATGGTGTTGGCTTTTACTCTGAATAAGTGGGAAGCATTGGAGAGTTCTGAGGATTGTTGTGAACTGACTTACATTGAAAAAAGATTACTGTGGCTCCTGTGTCAAGAATAGACCTTTGTAGGTCAAGGGCAAAAGCTGGAGACTGATTAGGGGAACACTGTAATCCAGGTGAATGATTATGACTTGGGAGATGGTAACCAAGATGCTGTGAATGGTCAGACTGTGGACATATTTTGAAGATAAAAATTATGAGATTTGATGATAAGCCCAGTGTGAGGTTTATGTGTGTCTTAGAAAGGATTTAAGGACAAGACCAAGAATTTAGCCTTGAGCAGCTAGAAAATGAAATGGGGACAGCCAGGAAGAGCTGCTATGGGGCTGTGTTGGATAGCAGGAGCTCAGCGGCTTTCGTTGTGTGTATTTTGAGATGCCTGTTGTGTGTCTAGGTGGGGCATTGTGTAGACCATGGGATATATGAAGTTGGAGTTTGAGAGAGAGGTCAAGAGATGGAAATGAGATGGTGTTTAAAGCCACGAGAGTAGACCAAGATCAACAGGAGAATGCATGAACATGGAAAAGAAGTCTAGGACTGTACCCTGGGCACACCAGCCTCTAGAGGGGAAGTACATGGGGAGGAGCCAGCAGGAGAGATGGGGAAGGACTAGCCAGATTGGCCACACAGATTATAAGGGTGGAAGATGGAAGCCAGGTAGAGTGTTTCAATGTAGGAGTGGTAAAGGGGACAGGCCTGGGTACCCGTCACCTAATCTAACTCCCCACAATGGGTACATGTTACATAACTATTGTACGATTTCAAAAACCAGGACATTTACACTGGTACATGTATGTTCATAGTTATTTATCATTTTACCACGTGTAATGATCATCATAATCAACACATTCAATTATTTTATCACCACAAATATATCTCTTGAACCACTACTTTATTGATCATACCCACTCCCTGCCATTCCCAACCATCCTTAATTCCTGGTAACCATTGGTCTTCTTTTCTTCTCTATCATTTTGTCCTTTAGATAATGTTCTATAAATAGAATTATGGAGTATGCAATCTTTGGCCTTTTAAAATTCAAACCAATGCCATTGAGATCCATCTGAGTTGTTGCATGTATAAATATTGTGCTCCTTTTTTATTGCTGAATAGTATTCCTTGATGTATTCCAGACTTTGGTTAACCATTTGTTCATTGGGGGACATTTAATTGTTTCTAGTTTGTAGCTGTTACAAATAAAGTTGACCATTTACATTTAATGTAATTATTGGTATGTTGGGACATAAATATCTTTTATTTTCTGATTTTTTCTTATTCTTCATTTCTGTTTTCTGCCTACCTATGCATAATTAAAAGATTTTAATATGCTTATTTCTCTATGTAAATATTTTGTATAAATGTTAGTTGCTTGAAGTATTTCAGTATATATATATATGTATCTTCTCATAGGCTACTGGTGTCTGATTGTTCCAGTTGAGTGAAAAGTTGAGATTGTAAGCCTTTAAAGTCTTAACATCTTTTTTTGTCTTTATTTGTCAATAGTATATTAATAATTTTCTTAAATGCTTCTTCTACATTTAAAAAAGTACTTCAACTATTTTCCCAAGTCATTTTCACACCTTCTCATACATTTCCTAAAGGAAGGTTAGGCAAAGCAGATATTCATAAGGCAAGTCAGTGGCTTGGGCAGCACCAGAGAGCCTGACTTCCAGAATGTTCCCTGTGTCGCTCTTTGTCTTCTCCTAACTCAGGGCTTCTCCTCTTCAGAGTCGCTGATTCCTGTTAGTTGATTACTCTTCCTGTCTTTGTCGTAAGCTATTCCAGGAAGGTGTGCGCATCCTGGGGAATGGAGACAAAAGAGGCTGAGCAACTTCTCCAGACCACAAGGCAAAACACAGGTCATCCTGAGGTCACATCAGTGTCACCCAGGTCATGGCTAGCTTCCCAAAAGAGCGATGGATAGGGTAAGGATAAGTGAAAAGTCAGTTTTTATTCTACTTGAGGAAAGAGAAATCCCATGGATTTACTATCAAATATTCTTAGGCTTTACACCATCTCCAGGAGGTAAAGGTAATGGTGGCATCTTAGAGTATGAAGGAACATTATCATCAAACTTTTCCTTGGAAGAAAAAGAAATAAGATGCAGTCTCCTAACTAGTCAATATCTCCAGTCTGTGCTTCATTCTACTGCCAGCATTTTCTATCTAAAATGGTATCTGACCTGAGTACTTTCAGTGGCAAATCAAAGCCCACTGCCCATTCATTGCTCAACTCTGATGAACTCCAGTGCCCTGAAACCCCGTCTTAGGACCTGGAGATAAGAGCAAAAACATCATGGAACACTAGAGCGAGGGTGTCAGCTTGCATGCCAACCAACCACTGGCAGCAAATCCAGGAGGTGGACCTGACCAAGCACAGTGAGGGTTGTGCTGCCAGGGGCAGAGGAAGGAGCAGAGTGATAAACCCCTGCCCCAGACCTGGATCCTCCTTGGGGCCAGAGGTGGGATCAGTAACTGCAAGGCTTTTCTTAACTACTCTGTTCTTCAGATCTTTTTAAGTACCTAAGAAGGTGATGCTAATTCTCCAAAATACAAAAGTGCCTCAAGAGGAGAGTAATTAAAATGAGAAATATCCAAATAACTAGCTCCCAATCTGCTTAGATCTGTGTCCTCTGTATGAATTCTGTCCCTATTGGGTCAAAGAGGAAGTAACAAAAATGCCAGCCTGTCTCCCTTATGGATATGCCCAGGGCCCAGCATCCTAGTGAGGCCCCTGAACCAAAGGTATCATGCATATCTCAGACATGACTGCCCCCACTCTTAAGAGGGCTTCTAATAAACCATTGCTGACATTCAATGAAAAGAGTAAAGGGCAGTGCTTGATGCTGGCTCTCTAGCATATTACTGGTAGACAAATATATGTGAACTTATTCTTGGCATACATCAAAAGTTATATTTTTAAAAAACCTTTCACACAATATTTCTAGCAATGCATATATACAAATAAATCATCCAAATTATTTAAAAAACATTTTAGTAATCCAGCTCTTAGCACAAAACCATTTCCATTAACAACAACAAAATTGCAAACAACTTAAATGCCTAAAGTAACCTATAGTTATGCATATCCATAAGAATAACTCTCTTGCAGATGTTTCATATTATGGTTATAAAGACTGCATGACAATGTGGGCTGCAATGCAGGATAGAAATGACAGGAATGCTGTAATTTTAACTCTGCATAAATAGATTCACAGAAAAATAACTAGTAAGGAAGGCTGCCAATATTAGGAATTATTTACACTGTAGGATAGTGGGTACTTTAAGTCATTCTATTTAAAACTAGATTGAGGTTTTGTTACTTTCTAGCAGAAAGTTTTAATAAAGGGAAGAAAGTAAGATTAGAATTTTGAATCTAGATCTGAAATTTTCAAAGTGCAATGAACTTGAGAGAGCTAAGCATTAAAAAAGGAAATAAAGTAGGAGAAAAAAATGAAGCATACTGTCTGCTGTGATTCACAGTGTGAAAAAGAGGTAAGCTAATCCCCTTACTCAGATAGAGGCTCCATGCTGAACAATGACCATGACAGCAAACTTGCCACCACTCAGGAAAGTTGTGGGGGAAGAACCTTCCTCAGGTGTCTTCCTCAGTCCCTTCCTCTTAGTCAGTATGAGGTTATGAGTGGCAAACAGTGAGGGCAGAAGAAGGTCCATAAGTCATGGTAGGGTTGTCTCTATACTATCATTTCTGCCCAAAGATCCTGTGACTTGTGCCACTACCCAAGATGGTATTTCAGCTTTGAGATGCACCAAGCTCTCTGTCCAGGAGAGAACCCGTGTGAGTGAGTTCATGTTCTTTGTGCTGCCTGTTTTAGATGCATGACAGCTGTTGCAGTTAGGTATGGTACTATTCCTACTTTACAGATGAGGGAATGCTAAGTAAGGTATTACAAAAGACTGGCAAGAGAAGCAGAGATGTCATGGACCTATCCAATGAGAAGAATCTGGCTTTTCTCTATGCCAGGCCAACCCTGCACACCTTAAAAGTCTAACCATAGCTTATAGTTATGTATATTTATAATTATCTTGAGGAAGTCTTAAGTCATGGTTATGAAGACCATGGTCCTAATATCCTTAATTCCTCAGACTATGATGTTCTTCCCTACCTTCTTTCAGATAGTTTCTCTTCCAGTTTATGCAGGCAGGCCAAGCTTTTCCCAACTGGAAAGGGGCCCTGCACCTAGCATGGTGTCTAGTAAGGTATTTATTTGTTTAATGCACCAACCAATAACCCATGCCTGCCTCTGTTCTTTCCTACCTCCCCACAAGGGTATGGAAAAGCACAGGATGAAACAGGTTCACTCATTCACAGCCAGTTCAAGGGCCTGCAGGTTTAGTCTATAAAGCTTCTGGAGCAAATTTTGCAAGTGCAGATAAGAGGAAAGGATAGTACAGCTCTAGATCCAAGATGATACCCACCAATACTTCACTATAAGACCTGTTCCTCTCTCTAGCTTGTCTTTGTCCTTCACCCAAGACTAGTGCCATCTTCTGTCCCACCAACTCATCCTATGGGATTGTTGCCCTTTGAAGCTCAGATTCAAAAAACTCCCAAAGAACTTTTGGGTACTGGATGTGGGTCCTGAAATGCCAATGAGAATGAGAATAAGAGAATGCTGGCAGCAAGAGCTGCTGCGGCTGCGAGTAGTAGGCAAGAGAATTCTGGGGCAGAAGTGAGATGCGTGATGGATGGCCTTTCCCAGAATCACTGTGTCTGTACATGTGGGTATGTGCCTGCAGAGAAGAGGGAAAGGTATGTCATGGCAAGGAACCAAAAGCCCTTGCATCAGCAAAATCATAAGCAGAGGAGGTAGAGGAAGGTGTTTATGGGCTTGGGAGGAAGAGCTATAGCCGTAATGGGAAGAGCCTTCACTTTCCTGTGGATGCAGCCCACTGCCCCTTCCCTCCCACCTTTTCCTCTCCTGCCTCAGGGTCAGGGTCCCAGGTCACCTCCAGTCTTCATTGGAATCCTTAGCCATGGAGTTGGGTGAGACCAAATTTGGGAAGATGGCTTTTCTGGGTCCTGGCAAAACCATGCTCTTCATTTTGTTCAGATTTTCCCGGGCCAGTTGGCATTTCCGCAGGCAGGGCCCACACAGATCTTTTGCATCCACCAGATACAGGTTCTCCATCCTTTTAATGGAATCTATGAATGAGGTTGACTGCTCAGTGTCTGGAAAAGGGTTTCTCTTCGTGTTAAGCTTTTTCAGCTTGGGGAGCTTGGAGATGTTTGCTGGAATGGTTTTTAGCAGGTTGTCATTGAGCCCCACTTCATGGAGCTCCTTCAGAGCACCCAGTGTGGTGGGCACACTGTCCAGGTGGTTCAAACCCAGATTGACAGTACGGATGTTCTTGAGTTGATTCAGCTCCACAGGCAGTCCGTTGGTGGTCAGCTTGTTGTTGCTGATGTTGAGGTAGAGCAAGGTGGTCATCTGGCCAATGGACTCAGGGAGCTTATCTATGTAGTTGCTGTGCAGGTCCAGCCAACGCAGGTTCTGGAACTTGGAAATAGATTCAGGGATCTTCCTTATCATGTTCCGGCTAAGATCAAGCTCATCCACATCATTGAGTCGCAGAATGCACTTGGGGAAGGTGGTAAGTCCCATCTTGCTCAGATCGAGGCGTCTTTTCCCATCAAAAGTAATTCTAATACAATTCTTGGCCACATTGAAGGTGATCTTCTTGCCCTTCATGCCTCTCCCAACCTGGGCCATGTTCTTTTACTAAGAGACTTTGTTTGAAGAATATTTTTCTGATTGGATGGTAATCAGTTTGAGGAAGGAGTTACATGAAAATTCTAGAAGATAGACTCTGGTATGAACAAAAAGAAAAATTAGTTATGAGAGGAGATAAGGGTACTGGACTAGCCCCAAATCATGTGCTTTGCTCCATGATGGTCTAAAAGGATACAAACAGATAATTGAGAGGAGTCAGAGCATCAGCAGAATTTGGTAAAGACTTTTGGGTGGGTTACTTCTGCTGATGCTCTGATTCCTCTCAATTATCAAGTTGTGTGCAATTTTCAGGCTTCAATTTTCCTAGATGTTGAAAGGCAGGTGCGTGGTTGACCTGAAGGATGCTGAATGCATCTCTAGCATCCTTATGACTTATGAATGCGTCCATTGTCCTGGGCTTTGACATGTACTCCTGACCCCAGGTGTGTGTGTGTGTGTGTGTGTGTGTGTGCGTGCGCATGTGTGTGTGAGTATGTATATGTGTGTGTGTGTGTGTGTGCACATGCGTGCACATGTGTTTCTTGACTATCTGCCACTTCCTATACCCCATATAAGTTTAGAGTCTTCTTCATATGACTGTCCTAAGAAGGGGTTTCAATCAGATGCAACATAAGCCTGGTTATGAGGAAATCAGGTGAGAGTTAAGAAAGACTTATTTTATCTCTCTTCACCTTTTGGACTCAGAGGAATCAGTCAGGCCTTGACTAATATAACTACAGGGCAACAGGAGCTATATAGAGCCAGGTTGTCAGGCTTTGCCTACACTATAAGCATGCAGAGGACTGGAGTTTAGCCAGGTGAAGCTATAAGACAATGCTTCCTTTCTCCACCTCCTACCCCTCCCCAGCCTCACAGTAGAATCCCCTGCATGCATAGGTGTTATTATAGTTATGAATGCCACCACACAGAGAAGTAGAATGTAGAGGGGATGGAAGATTCTAGCCTCGGCATTCTTGACTTACAAATTCAGTTCTGCTGCTAATAATTTTCTTAAATTCTCAATGCCCAAATTTCCTTGTTTTGTGAAAACAACCCCCTCAAAGAGCTCTTAGGGAGGGAAAATTATCTGTACTACTACATAGAACTTTACCAATGCCTGCCACACATTAACATCTTAATTTTAGTTATTAAACATAGTGTCTCCAATCCTCAACAACCCAACAAGATCCATGGAAGCATCCCTATCATAAAGTAAGGAACACTGAGACTCAGAAGTCAAAAAGTTCTATAGCAAGGAAGAGGGTGCAAACACTGTTCTTTGTGTTTCTGCAACCCCTTTCTTCTTCTAGAATTTGATGGCTCTTGTTTGCTGATTTCCTACTTTTGGATCAAGTTTCCCAATAGCAGACAGAAGCATGCTATTGGAAGCCAAACACTTGTATTGCCTCTAGCCCCAGGAAGGGTAGATAGGGAGACACGTAACACAGTTTGTTTTCCATCATCCAGACTCTTTTATCAGGAGCCATGTTCATGAGTCTCCAGCAACTGAGATGTGTGACCTATTATCTCACATGTTTCTCATTCAGTAATCTTCAGGGTCCAAAGGGAAAAAAAATGACCTTCCTGTGCTTATAATGAATCCCACTATCACCACTCTTAATTGAAGACCAGAGGTTTCTCGCCTTACTTAGTCCTGTTAGATCATAGCCACCTGGGCTTGGTGTGTTGATCTCCACAGTAAATCAGTGAAAGGAGTCTCAGTTCTCAGCAGCACTGATATTCTTTTGAGCAAGCCTTGTTAGCTGATTCTATTTCTCAGAAATGGCGGACATACCACACTCAGGCATAATTGGCTGGTCACCAGGCCTGGCACTTTGTTCACCAGTTAGAAAGTTTCTGTATCATTCAGCTCAGAGAAGCCAGGTAGGTTAAAGCAACTTTAAAAAGACAGCTTTAAAGCTTCCTGTTACAGTGAAGTGAGAGTGTGGGCACCCTGCCCCACCTTGCCCACTGAAAGCATGTAAAGACCTGAGGCAGAACACACAGAGAAGCATGCTGAGGACTTAAAGACAAATGGTATTGGGATGATCAAAGACAAAACCCCTAACTCAGAACAATCTGGTGGCATGTTTCCTGAGTCTTCCCTCCTGCTCCCATCTGTATTTCTTGGCCTGGATTCAAAGGCAACCCCAAACATCAAGTGAGGGCAGCAAGATTTCTGATTTTCAAGAAGATCTTGTCATTATTGTAATTTTAGTCCAGGGAACAGGAAAAGAGTCTTTTAGGATCAATCAGAGCAAAGAAAATCTGGTTTTGTTTGTTTTTATTGTTGTTGTTTGTTTTGTTTTGTGTTTTCATACCTGGGGTTGAACCCAGGGGCACTTAACCACTTAGCCCCATTCCCAGTCCTTTGTATCTTTATTTAGAGATAGGGTCTTGCTAAGTTGCTTAGGCCCTCACTAAGTTGATGAGGCTGGCTTTGAACTCATGATTATCCTGCCTCAACCTTCGAGCCATTGAGATTACAGGTTTGCGCCACCACACCTGGCTGGTTTTGCCTGTTTGTCTCCCCTTTACTCCTGCCTCAGCCCTAGCCTCACTCAGGCACATGGAAAACTGAAGGAAGAGAACCTGTGTATGTGTACAGTACACACATTCCCAAAAGAAGAAGAAAAAGAAGTTATGATCCAGAAAAATTTTTGAAGGAAAGTAATCCAAAACTTCCAAAAGTTGGTGAAAGTCATAAAAAGGACAGATGCACGAAACTTAGCAAACTTCAAACACGATAAACTGAAAAAAAAAATCTGCATTCAGACACATAATCAAGTTGATGAAAAAGAAAGAAAGAAATTTGAATCTTGACCAAAAAAAAATAATAATAACACATTACATTTAGGGGAAAATTTCCAACACTATAAGTGACCAGGCCATGAAGCCATGAAGCCCAGAGGCACCAAAAGATAATTTTTACAGTGCTGATAGGAAAAAACCAAACCAACAATCAAAAGAAAACCTGTCAACCCAGATGGTGAATGAAGGCAAAATAAGGACATCTTCAAATGAATGAAAAACAAAAGGTTTTGTCACTAGCTCAGTTGCTGTTAAAGAAATGCCAATGAAAGGGAGACCACATTGGAGAGAAACTTGGCTCCTTGTATCTTTTGGAGTAGAGGAAGAACAATGGAAATGATAAATAGCTGAGTAAATGTAATAAGCTTTTTTTTCCCTTAAAATCTTTAAAATATATATGGAGTTGAAAGCAAAAATTATAACATGATCTGATAGGGTTGTCAATGTATGTGGATTCAGTATATATGACAACTAAAACATAGTGGGAACTGTTAATGAGACCTGAACTAGTAAAGTTTTTACATTGCTTTTGAAGTGGTAAAATAGTCATCGTAAACATACTGTGGAAGTTAAGGTGTATATTTTGATCCCCAGAGCAAACACTGAAACAAATTTTAAAAGAAATAGTAAAAAACCAAGTATGTAAATGAAAGTAAAACCATTTTTCTTAAAAAGTTAAATAATCCAAAAGAATGCAGGAAGCAGGAAACAGAAGGAGCAAACAGAAACAAAACAAAACAAAAAACCATAAAAATGGTAGTCCTGAATCTAGACAAACAGTACTTACATTAAATGAAAGTGAACCAAACATACCAATTAAAACACAGTGATGAGATTGGAATGCAAGAGAAAAACAAACAATTATGGGCTATTTATATGAAATTAAAAACTTTATTTTTACCTCATTTCAATCTACTTCCCTTTCCTTCTCCCTCTATTGACCCCTTTACTCTGTTGGTCTTATTTCTATTTATTTATTTTTAATCAATGCATTACAGTTACATACAAAATTGGAATGCATTGTGGTATATACATTCATGCACCTACTATAATTTGGTCATGTCATTCCTCAGATCGTCCCCTTCCTCTTGGGTTCCCACCCCCTGCTTCTGTTTGTATTTTACTAATTCCCCTTTATTTTAATAAGAGCCTCCCAACTTCATTCCTTTGTTCTTTTTAGCTTCTACATATGGGAGAAAACATTTGACCCTTGACTTTCTAAATCTGGCTTATTTAACTTAGCATGATGTTCTCCAGTTCTGTTCATTTTCCAGCAAATGACATAATTTCATTCTTCTTTATGGCTGAGTAAAATTCTATTTTTTTGTGTTTGTGTGTGTACACCATATTTTCTTTATCCATTCATCTGCTGATGGGTACACCTAGCCAAGCTATTGTGGATGGTACTGTTATAAACATTGGTATGTATCAGAAGCTCACTTTAAACAAAAATGAGTTTAACTGAAAGAAATGGGAAAAGACATGCCAAGAAAACACTAAAGGAGCTGAATCAACTTCATTAATCTCAGACAAAGAATATTCCAGAACAAGAAAATTTAGCTGAAAGGGAGAAAAATATACTAAAATGACATTTTCCAAGAAAACAAAGAAAAATCCTAAATATGTATATACCTAACAACAGAGCTTCAATATAAATGAAGCAAAAGCTAATAATATTAATAGACAAATTTGTAGTTAGCGCTAAAGATATCGATGCTTTCTTCTCAATAATCAATACAACAAGTCAAAAAATCAGCAAGGAACAATGTGTTCTCAACCTCAGCTCTATTGACTCAGTCTCAAGATTCAGCTCTATTGAAATTGGGCCAGAAAATTCTTGACTATTGGTAAAGATGAGAGGGAAGACCCTGTGCAGGGTAGGATGTCCAAAAGTGTAAGGCCAGAAGAGTCTATCCATTAGATGCCAGTAGCTGCCCACTAGTTGTATCAACCAATAATGTCTCTAGATATTGCCCAATGTCCACTGAGGAGCAAAACTGCCCCCAGATTAGAACTACTGATACAGAACAACTGACTATTACCACCAAGCAACTAGATCCAACTGATAATTTGTAAAACACTATGAAACAGCAGCAGAATACACTTTCTTTTCAAGAGTACATGGAATAGTCACAAATATGTTGTATGTTCTGAATCAGGAAACAAGCCTTAACAAATTTCAGTAAGTGGGAATCATATAAAGAATGATCTCTGAAAATAATGGAATTGAATTATAAATCAGTGATAAAAGATAACCTGAGCCAAGCACAGTAGCCCATATCTGTA